CAGAGGATCACTGATGCCATTGCCACCATTGATGAGGGTATGCTACAGCGAACATGGCAAGAAATCGAGTACCGTCTTGACGTGCTTCGTGCAACTAATGCTGCCTATATAAAGGTGTATTAAATAAGGCAAAAGAAAGAAGAACTTAAATACGTCTGGTTTTATAATAATTTCCACTTATCCTGTCTTTTCATTTGCCTTTGTAATAAATTTTTAAAATTGCAAAGAGACTTTACGCTGTATTTTCGTGGTAAATCGTGGCTGATTTGTCATCACGCGTTACGATACAAGTCGGTCTTTTGTGTCGGTCCGATCGCGGCAGTGTTAATTCATCACGAGAGTAACGACTGCGCGCAACGTTAGATAATAGCTGACAAAGTATCCATATCCCTTTGTATTTCACCGCGAGGCGTTCGGAAAATGCATTCTGGCCGGTGGAACGCGCGAACAGGGTGTTCGGACAGGCGTAGGGATATTCGTAACTATCCATTCAGCAGTATAACGTCGGAACAATAACGGGCTCGGCAATGTGCGCGGGTCGATGCTGTTTTCTGGACATTTGAATGTTAAAATTGAGGACGAACGGCGATACGTAATTTTTGTACGTTGCACGCGTACGTGAAACTTTCAGTCACGGGTGAATATTTCAATTTCCCGGATTGAAAAAGTTCGTTCGCGGTTCTGTATTTTTATTTCCTCTGATTTTGTTTGTCAATCGTCTTCTTTTTCTTTTTCGCGCGTCTCCTGAAATTTCGACGTATTATAAAAAGGGAACCATGATACTTCGCTTGATCGGGAAGTGTCATTGGTTTTCCAACGCACGGATTTTCGGATATTCGGAAAGCTGTGCAGACGTGACGCGGTTTTAATTGATAGTGAACGGAATTTTCTCACTATTTATTTCGTTATCGCGTTTCTTTTCTGTCGCGTTACCAGTAATAAATCTGGCTGTCAGCGGTTGAATAGCGCGCGATCACTGCCGGCTGATTGGTAAGGCATTTGTGCTGTTATCAAGACGATGTGTTCTGTCAAAATACGTGTCAACGGACACTGACGCAAGAAAGAAAGATGAACATTTCAGAAACTTTTACCTGCACGTGCATTCCTTATTATTTAAAAAATGAACAATTACAGTATTTTCTATGAATTATCCAATTCTTTTTAAATAAATATTATTAGATAAAACAACGGCACTTATCCCGGAAGAAGTGTCATCTTAGAGTCGTTGTCCATTAATCTGAAATACGCATGATATTCATCTCTTCAAACAACGAAAACAAGGAAATTAATTAAATCATCAATTTTTACATTGTCACGACGGATGTTCAAAGTTCAAAGAAAAGTCACCCATTGATTCAAAAAAAAAAAAAAAAGAAATATACATCTATCACGAATTATATTATACAGGGTGTTTCGTAACTTGTGGGACCCATTTCAAGAGCTGATTGTACGCCTAAAAATAATGCAAAAATGTCATATAAATATACGTCCTATCTGTCTTCGTTCATGAGATATAATGAATTTTATAAACAGAGCAAACTGTAGTAAGCTAGTTTTACCAGGGATGGTATATTCAATTTTCATAATAAT